AAAAAAAAAAAAAAAAGAGAAAGAAAATGGATTGAAGGCATTTAACCCGTGAAATAAAAAATTTTAGTCAACGTATAACAATCAAATATAATAGAAACACAAAAAAAAAAAAAAAAAAAAAAAAAATCAATGGATTTAGGGTCTACTAATGTGCATCAGTCTAAGGTCTATTTCACACAGGTTAGGTTTAATGACTCCACTCGAAAGTGAGATGAAACAGACATAATAGAAATGAGGCAGTGGCTATTCGTACGGTAACCGTACGCCGACTTGCAATTTCTATTCGTACGGATTCTTAAATAATGTGGGACTTAAGTTCTAAGCTTTTCGAGGATTTTGGTTCTCCTCACTTAGAAAAAAAATTCAATGGCAGGCAAGATTCGAACTGGGCAATTTTTTCACCAACTGATATTACAATGCCTATCCAAACCCTAACCCTAACCACTCAGCCAAGAACTGAATTCGCTGCGGTGCTTTCCGATTTTCGCCATATTTAAAACAATAGCAAGGTTTTTAAATATTCGTACGAATAGAAATTGCAAGTCGGTGTATGTTGCCCGCGTACGAACGGAGCCACTGTGAGAAATAAATGCAGAACGGAATTACGGAAGAAAAAGAGAAAAGTAAGAAAAGAAAAGAAAAAAAAAAAAAAAAATTAGAAGAAAAAAAAAGATTGGAACCGTAGTTGGAATGCTGAAAAAGATAGAAATATAATGGAATCGAAAAAGAAGATGGAATAGAAGAACGAGAAGAAGCAGATCAGAACAGAAATAAATAGAAATTTTTATGTTGAAATATTACATTATTACTGCATAGGTTAACTATTACTTATTGATGAAATGAAATAAAGACAAAATAAGGTTTGTATGTCTACACCTCAGACTAACCATTTATCATTGTTAGTGTAAGGTGTAGAAGCCGAGGGTGGACGTTCTTGACAGTCCCGCAAACCTCAAGCTGCAGATGGACCACAGGCGCTTTCCGTTGTTGCTGTAAGAGTCGCCATATTGAATTTCATTTATGTTGAGTATTTATACGTGTTTGCGAGCGTGTTTCTGGGCTTTATCCCTAGCAGTTAGCGGTAAACCTGATGCTATTAGAGAGTTTTAGATTGACTTTTTTTTTCTCCCCGCAAACGGCAAACGTGACCACGTTTTCATAGTTTTCCTGTATTTTACTTTACCTCTTGCAAACCTTCTCACCAAGCGCAAATACTCTTTTGTTTTTCTACTACTTGGACTTTTTTTGCGATTCTTTTTCAGTAATTTAAAAGAATTTTTTACTGGTCAACTGACGTTTCACGTTTGCCGTGAACGTAAATCTAAAGCCCTCTATTGACATTAATTACCGAAAATCTCAGTAGCAAGCGCGCAACCGAGCAATTTGTCTTCGCGACAAAATAGGATTAAGGTGGTTTCCAGAATTGTCGGAAAACAGGTTTTTTTCAAGGGCACGTGCATATGGAATGTCATAGAAAAGCCTCGATTCACGTCCACTTCGTCGGGACGACAATTCTGCGCGTGCTATTCACATCTGTAAATGACCTATCGATAATGCTGGAAGAAAATTGATGTATTGTTTACTGATTTAAAGAGGACGCAACGGCGGCAGATTCCATTTATGTTTAATTAAAAAATCCCTGATATTCGCTTGTCAAGTAGTCTATGGTAATTCTCATAATATTTACATTCTAAAATTATCATTAAAACAAGTTGTCAAACATGATATATTTCTTAAATACTGTAGAATAAAAATCTCCGAACACTAAGTATAAGTAAGGGGAGGGCGATGATGGTAAGATAGCCAGCCGGATATACCACGAAAAGACAGTGAGTTGATCCGGTCATGGCAAAATTCATTTTCACGCGTGAAGAAATGTCCGGCTGATCAGTGCTTCTACATATAGTGTGGGACCTCATTACACATACTATACATGACCAGATACTGGGTGGTCAGGCTGATCAGTGCTTCTACAT